GGGAAAGCAATTAGACGAACATGGTTCCCTGTGGAGATTTGATATGACACAGTTTAGCCCAGAGCAAATTTTTACAGACAGGTTAACAAAGGAGTCCATAATGGAATTACTGATGCAATGTTAACAATGCGAGTTCTAACCGACTACTGTGCATCTGTAGGTAGAATATGTAGAGCTTGTTGTTAGCTTATTTTATACAAGCTAGAGATAAAAATGCCAGTTTAGAAACTAGTGACTTTTAGCAAGATTTTACTCTTCAGGTATCCTCAGAAATGTTTCTAGGCAATGGCTGTGGTCTTGTTTTCTGCACATGGATAGGGTTTCCATTGTCCCCTGTGGAAAACTGTGCATGCAGGCATTATTTCCTGCTAATGTAGATAATGGGAATTCCTCATTTCCCTAAGAAGGCTGAACTATGCTTAGTTTATAGCAGAGCAAGTGTATTTCCTAGAGATGTGTTGCATTCATATTGATATTACTGAGGTCAGTTTTATCCAAGGAGTGTTCTTTTCAAAATAAACATATTTATTCAATTGATAGCTTCTCATGGACACGTAATGGAACTCATTTTGACATAGATAAAGACGCATGGGTAAGAATGAAGCCACAGTCAGGAACTCTTATAATAAATATTATAAATGAAGAAAATGGAGGAAAGGCAGAAGCATATGAAGGAGTTTATCAGTGCACAGCAAGAAATGAACGTGGAGCGGCAATTTCGAATAATATCGTAGTACGGTCATCCAGTAAGTCAAATATTTGACATCAATAAAACATAAAGTTCTTACTAGTGCTTGTCATTAACTTTTTTCTTTATTTACTTTTCTTTATTTACTTGTATTCTTTTTTTCCTTTTAAAAAGACATCTTTTTACTCATCAAAGCAATCTTGTTAGAAGGTAATTGTACAGTTTTTGATATTTTAGCTTAGTGTTGTATTGCATGGAAAACTGCCCATTTTCTCCAAAATATTTAGTAAGTTTAAGCACGCAAGATTTCCCTTCTTTTTCCTACTATGTTTAAAGCTGGGTATTGTATAAAGCATCACAATTAGAGAAAAATATTTTGATTCTTTACTATTTTATACATTCAAAATTAGATACTACAAAATCTGTACTTTATTCTTAGAGTGGAAAAAAAATTGAATGCTATGCCAGTGAGACACTCTTGTAACAAGGTTAATTGTTGACCTAAGACATTTCTTTTAGACAATTGCATTTGATTCAGACACCCCCCCCCCCAGTCGGAATAACAAACAAGCCAACTGTTGGAATCCAAACAAGGGCCACTTTATTAACTATTTAACAGAACTGTAACTAAGCGGCAAGGGAAAGCTAAGTGAGTGCAGAACAGGCAAGGCAGGTGTCAATCTAGCCAGTCTCCATGCCCAAAATGGGGGCGAGCCACCCGCCCCGGTCTTGAGCCACCCATCTGGTTCGTGACTGGCAGCCCAGCCCCTGGTTACCCCCCTGGAGTGCCTACCTCTGAAGCCGTACAGCTTGCAGGGAGGAGCCTACCTGATAGGTTTCCAGAAGTGATCATCATTCCCAACAGTGGGCCATAAAAACCCTAAGGCTGTTCCTGATGACCCCCCCCTTATTCCCAAACAGAGAAATGGCTGAAGGTGCTTACCAGTTCTGCTTTCTTACCCACACAACTCTGCCACCTGTGAGGCCAAGCCTCTGCTTTGGCCTATGCGGCCACCTAACAACCCAAGGCTGCCCTAATCCCTTGCCACAAATCCTCCAGAAATAAGTAATTGCCCTTGCTTGATAAGTGAATCCCATCATCCCGGTAAAGGCCATGCAACTCAACCCGTATGCCAGGGTGCAGCAAGAATTGCCCCAAGCCACCCTCTATGGCTTTCTTCATCTGCCGATTGACCTTACGTCGAAAATGGTCCAGACATCGGGGATTCCCGAGGCTATGCCATACCAGTCGGGGCAATATTGCCGACCAAACAATCTGCACATCAGGCCACCTCGCTCTTATCTTCACGAGGTCATCCTTGGCTTGAGTGACCAGGGCCTTGCCCTTTGCCAAACCCAGGTCGTTCCCACCTAGGTGTACAACCAAAAGATGTGGAGGAGGCTCCCGCCTCTCATCTCACAACAGGGGAAGGAGACCAGGCCATCTCATGCCCCTCCTACCCAGCCATTCAACCAGCGCCCACTCGCTCAGGCCCAACTGAGAACCAATGGGTAATGGGTGTCCTTCTGGCCTGGTGGGTGACTCAAAACACCATGCTGTGGTGGCAGGTGGTGACTCTTCATCTCACCAAATGGCCCTCAGCACCTGAAAAGAGAACTACAACAATAACTCTTCAAACTTAAAGCTTGCATTTGCATACATAACCTTTGAAGCATCAGGATCGCCAGCAGCCTATATTCCATATCTCTGCAGTGGAGTACCCCATGGCTGCCACAGTAGATGCAGCCCCTATCCTGAAAGAATGGGACCCAAAACGGAATTCCCCCAAACTCAGTGCCTCCAATGCCCTCCAGGTTATTGCCCAAAACTAGAATTTGGTCAGAGGGAAGCCATCCTTATGGCGGGAAAAAAACCTTCCCCATTCCCTTTCCAGACAAATATTGGTGTAATGCCAATACAGGGCACAATTCTGATTCAGAACACTGCCCCAGCTTAATAACGGCGCCCTTGCCTGGCTGATCTGTTTTCTTTTTTAAAAAAATAGTTTTTTATTTGTTTAAAAGAGAAAAAGACAAAAACAAACATAAAAAGACAAACATACATACAAGAGAGTTTATTATCAATTTCTGTCTCTTTAACTACCTCATAATTAAACATTTCATTTTCTATTTTTCTACCTTATAGCTAAGTAAGATATTTGCAAGCTTTTATCTTAAAATTACATAACTTTTTTTTATATGAGCATATACTAAGTATTCCAACTATAATTTTCTAAGCAATATCTTCATTTCTATCTTAACGTTTAAAATGACATTCTAATTATCCTTTCCATTAGTTTCTAAATATGCAAAACTTAATTTCAGTATACCCAAGTTTAATCAATTACCATCTCATTCACCATTTAACTGCGTATATTTATCTTTAAGATTATGTAATTCTTTTAGTATATATTTCCAGCTGTGGATATACAAACAAATTCATAAAAATAATACAGGGTTGTTGCTACCCCTTCCCCTATTTTTTATATACTACATTTACTAATAGCATATATAAACATAAAAATATAGTTCCAATTACTATAACATTCTATTTGACATTTTCTCCTAAATATAGTTACTATTTAATAAGCAAATATCAGTCAGTCAGTTATCATAACAAAGCTATTTTCTAACCTATTCTTCTTTAATTTTTAATCCATTGAGTTTCCATTAAAACTTAATCTCATACATGTCCTAAAACATAAAAAATGCACAAGTATATTTATACCATCTAGCTTCAAAGAAATTTACTTATATAATTTTTAAACTTGGCTTAACCTGTATAGATTTCCTTTAATATCAAAAACATCATCCATATTAGTTGGCTTGGGTCAAAGTCCACATAAGATAGTTCCCTTTCCAGGTTTATTTATAAAGATTTAAGTCTCTTTCCCCCCCTCTTCTGAAACCTTCTTTTCATAAATGCTGTAAATCTATGTCTTTTATTTTTGTAAGTGAACAGGCATATTTGAAGCAGGTTCCATCTGTGTGCAATTCTTGAGTATGAGATTCCATATATTCTTCTATGCCTTCTTTTTGCAGTATTTTTTCCTTCTTCTCTTTAATGGTTTATCTCATTATTTGTCTTTTAATAAACTTGTTGGTGCTCTCTGCACAATTTCTTCTTCTTCTTTTGATGTAAAAGTCGTTCCATGGAATAAATTCTCTTGCCCAGGATTTTGATCAGTATCTTGAAGGGTTGAAGGCTGCAGTTCCTTTGTTTCAGTTTTCACTTGTGAAGGCTAATTTTCACTTTTATTAAATATCACTTCACAAGTCTCCTGGACTGCCGCGACAACTGAGTCAAAAATTAAAAAATTTAATTCCTCCAACGACATTTGGGCTAAGTTAGTGGCTTTAAGACTCTCTTCCATGGCTTGTACGCTCATTTTAATGTAATAGAAGCCAGCTCAATCCGGTAAACCGCCAATCTCTGGAGTTAACTTTCAATATTACTCAATTGTAACCATAAGCAAGCATGTTTACCGTCCTGGAATCATTCAACAAAAGGCAGCTGCTTTACTGTTACAGTGGAGTCTGCGCAGAGTGGATTTCCAAACTCCAGCAAGAAAGTTGATGTTATGGTCTGTTTTTCTTTAACAAAACTGTATATAAATCCAGTAAACGCCAAGAGTTTATAGCCAAATCAAAATGGTATTAGAAGGTCAAACAACGTTCTCTTATTGCCCCAAGTTTTAATGCAGCGATTCTTTGTCGCTTTTATTGACTCATAGTAGCTGCTCCGCGGGAAGAAGGGGGAGAGTTACACCCTTCTTTTCCTTCCCCTTTCTTTTAAGTTTAAAGGGGCATTTCCAAAAAGTCATTAAAAAAATTTTTTGGCCCCTCGTAGGGGATTTTTTTTATTAGCATTTTCTAAAAACTACAACAAAATTAGGGAGGGAATCTAATACTATAGGAGAAACAAAAGAAAACTCACTAAAAACCCAAGAGTTGGAGGTCATACATTGCTTATAAAAGTATTAGCTTGACATTATAGAAATTGCTTTTCTTGACATTGAGAGTGGTCAAATATCATCATCAATTATGTTAACAAACCATCAGGTCTGACTATATAGAGAGCATTACAGGAGGATCGCTAATTCACTTAAAAACAAATTTCAAAGAACAATGGCATCTCATTTTGCAATTATTTTTCCCTCCTTTGTTTAAAGCAAATTAATAATCTTATTTCCCTCAGTAAGTATAACACAGTCAATTTCCCTTCCCACGCTATTATCTTCATTCATCTTAAATATTTTCCCTGTGGCATTCTCTTGCTGAAACTGAAACTGGTCATCTCAGAACAAAGTCCTTTTTTCTTTTTCAATGACTGTAATCCACTTAAATTTGTGCCTTCAATCTTGGGGATCATTCCATTTGTTGCTTTTAAGAGCCAAACTTATAGAGAGTCTATCCGCCCTTTTGCCCGTTAGACTTTTTCGAGTATGTCCATGGCATACCCATCACTTACAGCTTCGCTTAGTCATCATATATAGGCCCCACCACTTAGTCTTACTATTAGACTCTCCTCTTTAATATTGGAAGTCCCTGTGATCAAAGGCTAGTCGCTTCTCCGATGTGAACACAGTCCCTTGAAAATAGCAGTCAAAGTATAACACAGTTCTTATGAAGTAACTCGCTTTTGCCAGCAGAGGGCAAAGGCTTAACTTGCAGTCTGAATGTCATGCCTGTACCCGACCCAGCACCTGGGAGCTCTGAAATTGAGGACTCCGTGCCTTTAACATCACCAGAAGCACGAGAGTCCTCACCAAACCTAAGTGCCGGGGAGGATGAACGTCAAACCCCAGGACAGTTTGCACCTGAAGCCGATCAGGCAATGCCTGGCCCCAGCAACATGCCACCCGATTCTCCGCCACCTGTTGACCGGCTGAGGAATCAGAGATGCCGGGATTTGGCAACCAGGCGCAAGGAGGCACGCTTGTGTGGTTGGCAGTCATTAAGCCCAGATTACTAACAGAATCAAGAACTTCACGAAGCCGTGCTAATGAGATAACGACCCAGCATGCTATTTGAACAGACCGCTGGCTTCGGGCAAAT